TCTTATCTATCCTCACACTTCCACTCTTATTTTTCATTACTCTATAACTTTTTTTTGTGTTGAACCAAATGAAGAAAAACTAATACATGATTTTCCTTGAAAATACGTTTTCCATGAAAACTAATATTTCCTTGCAAGATTTTTATAAACCAACCGGGGCCTAAAACTTTGAGCTAACTTCACACAAATTCTTGGTTGGACCTTAGCTTGGTCCAGCTATTCTACTTGGTCTCCTTCTTCACCTTCCTACATATTTTCATCAATTTCCTTTCTTCTTTGTTAAATTAATTTTTTCACTTTCCTTAATTCTTATTTCTCTCTCTCTCCTCTCTATTCTGTCCTCTATCAATTTTGTTCTCCGCTACTTTCTCTCTCATCTCTTTCTCCATTTACATCTCTCTTCTCAAGAAGCAAAACTGATTTTAAATCAAACCACTACAATCGATTTAGATAAAATTTTGAAAAAGGTTTAATCAGGTTAGATTTTGTCAATTTAATTTGAAATTGTAATTTGGTTAATTTCGTTTATGATGATAAATGTATTGTTTGATTATTTGAACATTTTATAAATTTGTGATAAATATCATTAGAATGGTAGAATGGCTGAATATGTGATGAATATCAATTGATTATATCATTTTCTTTTTCCTCTCTCTCTCTCTCTCTCCCTCTCTGTGTGTGTCTCTCTCTCTCTCTTTTAAAACTTTTGATTACTAATCAATCATGTTATAGATCGATAATTATTTTCTCCTGATGAAGCAAGGTTATATTAAAGGTGGATCTTCAAATTTTTAGAGTTGGAATAACTACAATCAAACTTTTGTATAATTCCTGTAAAAACTGAACATATATTACTTTAAAAATGAATATTTCTTACAAAATTAACATTTAATATATTAAATATGAATATGCAACTATTTATAATGAACATGTATGCAACGATTTTTTTTTTCGATAATTATTGAATTTAAACCTATATGAACATATGGAAATCATGTTCATTTTTAATATTATTAAATGTTCTTTTTTTTTTCTTTTGACATATACATACATACATATACATACATATACATATATATATATATATATATACATACATATACATACATATACATATATATATATATATATATATATATATATATATATATATATATTGACAAAATGTTTATTTTATAGATCATGGTCCAGCTATTGTTCCAGCCATAGACTAGTTGCCAACTTCATTTAGAAAACTGAACCTTTGGCTATAGATGGGACTAGAGACTAGGCTAATGAGCAATGTTCAGATTGGGAAATCAAGCCTACTAAAATAAGACATCGTTTTAAAGCTTAACATTAACTTACTTTCAAATTCCAACCAAATAAGCAATAAGTATTATTTAATCGTCTAAAAGCTAATTAGAAAGACACATTTTGATGTCTACAATATCATAGTTTTAAGACCATGTGACCAAAAAAATAGTCACTGAACGCGCCTTTCGCAACCCTACCAAAACCCTTAAATCAATTTTCCCCTAATCAACCAAACCCTAACTCTTCCACAGCGGTAGGCCGCCGGCGATCTGAGTGGGTCGGTCTCCCTGCTCGGTCCCCGGCGAGCACCCTCCCATCAGGCCATGTAGAAGAGCTCTCCGTCCTAGCTGTTGCAAGGTCTGCTACGTTGTCGCGTCTTTGTTCGATTCATTTTTAGTTGGTGGTTCTCTGAGTCTTTGACCACCGATTCCAATCATATTTTTGTGGGTCTTCCTAATCAATTTAATTAAGTAAGGTGATCTCAAGAACGTTTCTTCTGTCTTTTGGACCTTACTTCCGTCAGGTTGCATTATGTGGTTTGTTGTAAAACAACGGCTGCTTTATTGAATCTCTGCTTTATTGAACCGTTGTTTTATTGGATTTTTTAGTCGCCTTTTTCTACGGTAGCGGTTGTTAGTGGAAATATTTCAATCAACCGGCTTAGCGTTTTTCTGTTTTCTTTCCGCTATCGTGTTGTGCCCCCAAGGGTTTGTTTCCCCTTGGAACTGCTTGTGTGTTCTTTTTAGTGAAGTTGTTGCCCAACCCCATTCTGACTTAGTAGTGTTGCTATGGACTGCCGAAAATTACTCAAATCAATGCCCTTATGCATACTCACTTGAACGGTGATTATGACAATAGCATTGTTAACTTTGCTAAAAACAATTGTCCCCGAACATCCTTAGCCAAGCTAAGGTCTTAAAGTAGGAGGGCAATTCTCACTTCAAGAAAGGTGAAGTCGTTCTTGGTGAGGCTAAGTATGACAGAAGGTTGAAACTTCTGTGCTTTGTTCTACCAAGAAATGAAGATGATTACATTTTTCTATGGAACCTTGCCATATCCCTTGATTTCAATCTTGCAGCTTGCGCACTAAAAGTTCGTGATTACCAACAAACTAAAGAGCTCTGCTCGTTAGTCATTATGCTTGATGGTAACAATACTAAAGCCCTTTACAGAAGGGCTTTAGCAGAAATCAGGCTCTATAAACTTGAAGAGGCCCATGAAGACCTTGGCAAAGAAGCTAAGGCTGAGCCTAATAATCAGGACATCCTTTGTGAGATGGAGAAGGTGGAGGGGTTAAGAAGCAAATCAAGCAAGATCAAGGGCAAGAGGAGTACTGAGGATTCAAACTTGTCGCACACCATCTTCAACAAAAAAGGGAATTTCATTAACACCTCTATCTATCTAGATTCTATCAAGTTACCTAGTAGCGATGTTCAAAGTGATGCAACGGCTTTATCCACCATGGATGCTGCTAATGAGATGATAGTAAAGAGCCTTGTCACTACATCTAATGATTTTACTCCTTTGGAAAAGGGGGACGATGAAGCTACTAGCCCTCCAAACAACTAGGATTCTAGACAAGCTAAGGACCAGGAATCAAGGAAATTTCATATGCTCCTAAACGGATCGAGAAGTAACCAGTCCCTTAAGATTTCTTATTTGTCTTACTCGGATCTCAGTCAAGGGAAAACCTTGAGTTTCTTCAAACATTCGGCTGTGTCATGGATGATTGCACGAGTGAAGGAAAAGACCACCTATGATGGGCATTCTGAATCCCATAAGGCAAAGGAATCCAAAGTTCCTGAAACCTTGCTCACGCCCACTAGGATGGTGGGTCCAAAAAAGAGGTGTCGCAACAGAAAAGGCCAAAAGGAGAAGGCCAAGGGATCCTTGGACTTCGCCGCGGTCAGCCACGTTGTTAGACTTCTCATACCCAACACCATTGTCGTTGAGAAGTTGGATGATTAAATACCTACTAGCCTAACTTCTAGCAACAATGAGGGTTCAAATATCGAGGAAGGGAATGAGTTACCTACGAGAGATTTAACTACCACTGGTATCGATGAAGTGGAATCCGTAGGTTCTACCGTCGAAGACCCCATAACGGTTGAACCTGACCATGTGCAGTCCTCTCCACCACTCTCTACATTCATGTTCTCTGCCATGTCAAGAAAAAATGGAAGGCCCATCAGGTCAAGAGTGAAGAACAAGAAAGGTAAAATATATTCCAATCGTTTTTGCAGGATCAAGAAACACAAGGGAACAAGTTTGGAACGGCTTAGGGCTAGTTTTGACGATGGATCTTCTCAACCCTCTTATTTGCATTGTCAAGCAGTTCATAGTGTCTGTAACCCCAATCCCCTTTTTAGTTCTTGTATTAATTTGGTTAAGAGGTTTAAATTTTCTCGCTGTAGTCTTGAGTCTGTTGGGAGCTAGCCTTCTTTTTAGACTATTGTCAAAAAAAAAAAAGAAAAAAAGGACCATGTGACCAGTAGTTCCAATAAGGAGAGTGATGAGGTATGCTATTTTCATTAACTTTGTGTGAGGCCTTCAACTATGTAAAGTCGCCTTGTTTCCCAAATCCATAACTCTAAATTGAATCCAACTTTAAGAGTACAAGACATGCATATCTTAAATCCAAATCTTTAAACCGTATATATATGTATTATTTCTGATAAAGTAATACGTAACAAAATTCAAACTAGTAATCAATGACTATATACTAAAAAACACACCAGCAATGACACACATCATCTTCCGGTGTGTCTTTTTTTTATATATAAATTTATTGATTAAGGACAAATCTTTTACATAGATAATATTATTATTATTACATATTCCATATTAATACATAGTACATTATATATAAGATAAAAAGCTTTCACATATCTTTCCACAAAATATATTAACAATTTTGAACCAAAATTCACATTGTTAACATTATATGTGACATGTTGTACTACAAGAAAATACATTGTTCAGATTTCACCTACTTTTATTTAAGTTATGTATTAGAAGCTACAACTAAAAAATGCAAATATCCAATCGACATCACATGCTTTTATTACTTGATAACTAATTTATGATTAAAATATTTATCTATCATTAATTGATAACCTTATATACTACTCCCTCCGTTTATTTGTCTTCTCATCTACTTTAATTATTAATTAACTAACTATAACTCTTGATCTTATTAGAATCATTTCAAAATGTAATATCTAAATATCAATTTTCCATATTTTACATTAGTATGTAATTAAAGTTATAATTGCTCAAACATATGCGTTGGAGACCGCACAAAATACAAGTGGATAGAACAAAAAAAAAGGAGGGAGTACACAGTTTAAAAAATTAAGTTGGTTAACAAAACTAAAAAATGTTTGGAACTAATGTGGCTGAAAATTATAAAGATGCATATATGGTCAAATGCATAATTTTTAAAATACATATTTTCGCTAATTGGCTTTTCATGATAATCCATATTTCATATTAATTAGTAAATAAGTGAAATAATTTTCATAATTTTGTTCAGAATATTTTTAGACTTTTATACTTTGTTTTTAATAATTACAAATAGTGTTAAATTGATAATAAACTGTGATTGCCGTCTAGTTAATTATAATTCTAAGATCAATAAATTAATATCGACCAAAATTAAAGAAGAGCTTGGAAAAACATAGATAACACCATAAGTAATTAAAGCATAGACAAATATAATCAGTGATAAATTATAATTCCAAGTTTTAGTCTTTTTTTTTCCATTAGATCACATTAATTAACAACACTAATAATAGTGAAGTTAATATAGATCATAGAAAAGTGACACACTATTGTAACTAATTACTCCAACTAAGAACCTAAGCCAGGCTAGTACGTAATTTGTTCAATTAGTTTCAATGTCAAGAGCAGCAAGCTGTTGAATGTTCATCGGGTAAGCAACGTCGCTGCCTCCATTGAAGGCCTTACGCCCTAAGATAACGTTTACGTGTGATGTAGGGTGGAAGGCGTCCCAAAATACGTACTCGTCTCTGTTCATGCACGGTGTTTGGAATGGTAGACATGTTATTTGGCCTTGGTTACGCCCGATCCCACAACATCCTCGGTCGATCACTTTAAATCCTGCATTTTACCGGCCAACAAAATGAAGGATTAAAATAGTTTAAGTCATCTATATTTATGATATTAATCAATTAAATCATCTAGATCTTAAGAGAATACATGAACTAAACTACTACTATCTCAAAGTTTATATTGTTACACTCGAATAAGTAGTATGACCATGATATAGTGCTAAGAGTAACAGTTTTTGTTCAACTATCTATCTTTAATTTCTATTAGTGTGATTGTGTGAATTTGAAATTATTGCATCCCAATTTAAACCTTTGTACGAAACAAAATTTATAAATTGACACATAAAAATGATGGTAAGCTTAGAGTACGTACCATAAGTAGCAGGACGAGTGAGGATGTCACGAAACATGCTAGCAATGTCGACGTAAATGAACTTGGAGCCAGGTAGTTTAGAGTTGAGATTGCTAAGCATCGTCTTCACATTGGCATTGAAAGGTTGTATAAGGTTGTTTACAACGTCCGAGCATTTCCCCGTAGGGCTTTGTGCTAGTATGCTTGGGATGCACCCCATCATTCCTAGTCCGGCTATAGCGAATTTCCTCCCTCCTAGATTATACAATCTCTGCAAATAATTCATTTACATAACACGTTAATTTTACATAAAAAGTTAAGGATTTGTTCTTTTCACCTGAAATTAACTTATCAAAAGTCGACAACTGAAAGGCTTACAGTGAGTTGAGTGGTGTATTGTTGAACCAAGAGATTGGCAAACTGTTGTCCGTTATATTGGTTACGAGTAGGGTAATTGGGCATAAGATAATTGTTAAGGTAGTCATTACTTCCCATTCCAACAAAGAATAAGCATTGTGCCAAGCTTCTACCAACATCATCTGCCCCAAGATTTGCCGTTATTTGGTTTAATGTGTTCTCAAAGTTGCGCACTTGCTGATTGAATGGTATGCGTCCAACCTATTACAACAAAAAAAATGTCTTAAGTTTTACTACTTTATCTAATACAGTGTCAATGATGCATTTTCTATAAAAGGGACACGTTTTTTAAGAAATTTTAATATATTTACTTGAGACATTACTAGTATTAAACAATAAGACTTGTGTGAGACCATGAGGTTAACGACAAATTTGTATTTTAAAGGAATCCGTTTTTATTCGTATTTTAATTGTACATGCAATCTTCCGAGACATTGATACTCAATAAAGTTAAGAAATGTGTCCATTGTACAATCAATGTTTACTCTGAGAACTTAATTGTTAATCTATAGTTCTCTAAATAAATAAATGAGCAATAAATTAATTAAATTCAAGTACGCATGAACAATCGGATGTATGATAGATATTGCACATGCCGTGCCAAAAAACACCTAAATTATAGCATTGCCTTTACAATAATTTACGGAGAGCAGTAAATGATCTCATGAGAATAGCTAGTCGCTTTTACACCATCGGTTCAATTGGCTTGTTATAATAATTACTCGTATTTAATTGGTACCAGGTTCTACCAATAGCATTCAATTCATTGACATTTATCCACTAGGTAAACCTTCCTACATGATATTAACCTACCAAGATAAAAGTACCTCGCATTAATTATTCATATCATCTATAAATTGAAGGACAAATTATTAGAAATATTATATATCCTGTATATTTTGAACACCAATCGGTCAAGCATGGACCAGGACTATAAAACTTAATGTGTTTATGTTCAAATGAGGAATAATGACATTACAAATTAGGGTGGAGAGATTGAGAGTTCAAATAATAACATATTGTGTACACTTGTTCAAATAATAACTTATTGTGTACATATCGATATATTAAATTTAAAGTGCACACATACAAGTCGCTCTTCTATTTTTAAGTGACCATCTTTAGAGTAACTATAGGGAAAATAAAAATTGAGATACTCTTTTATGTGATTTGGTATTATTTATTTATTTATTATTTATTTTTTTTTATTTTTTTTGACAATGAAAATAAAAATTGTCATTTGCTTTTGTATTTCATTAGGGTAACTTTTTCAAAAAAAGTATTAGGGTAACTTTGTGTATTGAAACATCGATATTAACAAAAAAAAAATGTATTATTATTATTTAAAAAAAAGTGAGACTGGAAACACAATAAATGTAATTATGAACCAGACGCATCAGAAATATTAATTTTGAACATTGAAATAACAAGATAAAGAAATCTCAAAGACAATGAAAACTAAATTGTAACCAAAAAAAAAAAAAACTTACAAAATTCCTGCCAGTAACATCAAGAATGCCAGCAGCAGCTGAAGCATAATTGACACCGTAACGTACTTGATCCCCTCCTCTTGCTTCTGAGTATGCTGGTATTAAAGGCAGACCTAGTGATTCCGCTGCAATTACACATTTTAACCCAAACTCAGATTTTATTTTATTAAATTAATCATTTTATGAATGTTTAAATTTAAATTAGACATGCATGCATAAGTTAATTCAAACCATGTACCTATAATAGTCTAGCTTTCCATCCGTCTAATTTTAAAGTTGACTTGTTATGTTGATAGACTAGACTAATTTAAATTAGTGACGTGACTAATCTGACACTAATTTGAACGAAGAGAGTATCACATTACACGTGTTATTAAGCAAATTTGCATGTTAAATATACTTTTTAATTGGTACACCCATAAATAAAAGCTCTTTTTTTCCTTGGGCAAGGATTCTAGGTAACAAATTACACTCAAGTATTTTTATTAAGTAGTATGAAAAATAAGATAATGGAATAAATTTCTTCTTTTTAAGGAAATCAAGAGAAAATGTAAATAGTGAATTAAATTACGACTTTATTTAGACAAAAATTGTTTGGATGAAATAAAACTTCTATTTAAAGACCAAGAAAAGTTGCATTGATTTATTTTCTAGAAAGAAAAAAAACCACAAAAAAAGAATTTCACCATGCATGCATGGAAACACAAAATTTTGCATGAAATAAAAGAGTAAAAAAAATGTACCAATGGCATCAACAATGGTGTAGGCATTAGAGAAGCGACCAGTTGGACCGTCATTAAAGTCAATACCATAAGGAAAATAATTAGCCTTAGCAAAAGAAGGCAAATTATTATTATTTCCATTATCAATCAACGAGTCTCCAAACACAAACATCGCCGGCACCAACTCCTTCGTCCTAGACACTCCGCCATTTGATGGCGGTGTCGCTGTCGTTACGTCTCCGTAATCTTGTGCGACACATACATTCACTACCAACACTACCACCACCAACACTAGAAAACTCTTCATTATCTTATTTACTTTTTAGGAGTATAGTTTTGTGTAAGAAGATATAATAGTGTGGTGTAAATGAGAATGTGTGAAAGTGAAGGTAGTATTTAAAAAGTGAAGGGTAAGAAGTTTGGTAAGAAGGAAGTAATTGCTTAATATAAATAAAGACTTGTTTTGTTGGTAAATAAACATAAATTCTGAGCACTTCATTTAATTACGCTCAACTACCCTACTGTAAGACGCCGCAGGAAAGCTGAAAATGAGATGTAAATCCATGTTAAGGCATTCAATTCAATGCTTTTTTTTTATTTTTTTTTTATTTTTTTTTGGGGTTTTGGGAAATTGATTTTGGTACATCCTTAATTGATTTTGGCACACCCTTATGTGAGAAAAGCATAGAAAAATATGCTCTCACATTGAGGTGTGCCAAAATCATTTCCCGGGGTTTTGCTGTATTATTATTCGTACCTAATTGCTTAAGTTTTATTTCCTACGTATATTGTAGATATATCATACGTCTACAATTTTATCTTTTTTTATTTTCTTTTTTATTTTTTTATTTTTTATTTTTTTTTAAGTGGATTGTACACGGTATCATTTGACTTTTAACTCAAAATTTACAAATTTTAAAAAAAAAAAAAGTCAAAATAAAATTAGTATAGTGTTAAAACAAAAAATATTAGGAGTATCAAAGAAGGTAAATTAGGAATAATCAAACAACAAGTTCATGATAACGTTAATGTTCATATGTTACTCCCCTCTTTTCCACAATGTTGATTACAATTGGTGTTTTTACGCAATTATTAAGAAAATTTGAACCACAGCAATTGATCATGATCGTAATCCCAATTGTTTAAATGGGGTTACTATGATGGGTGAGAGGTTACTACGGTAACTCTTATAAAAAATAAATAGACTTATTCTTATCGTTAAAACAAAATAAAAGGGGCTACTTGAATGAACAAATGAGATTACTTTGTTTTTAATGAATATGTTACTCATATGATAAATTGTGGTTACACTTCTATATAAAAATAAGGTTACCTATATGGATGACCGAAATTACTCATATTAATTAATGAATAAGAGTTATTCTTACACTATGTGATTGACCACACACAGGACTTGTTGCATGTTTTTCATATGGCTCACATAATAGACCCATTTTAATTTGACCTAGTAGTGCACATAAATCCCAGTCGTGGTCACGTGGTTTTATCTCTAATACTCCCCTCATTTTGTTATAAATTCAACTCTTGACCCATGCGAACTTATATATGCAATTGAGTTGAATTGGCTAACATATCTTGGAACTGAAAATTGCTAGGAAATTAAAAATGAATAAAAAAAATTTTTGATAATGGATGAATGAAGTTTATGTAAATTTAAATGTAAAAGATACAAGCAAAGAAAAATATTTTTAAAATATGATCGAGTACAGTATGAGTGAGGACCATGTGGGAATAGAAATATAAAAAATATTGTGGAATATTTAATTTAAGAAAATATTGTATTTTTAGAAAAAAAAAACGGTAAATATAGGAAATGTTATATTTAAAATAGGAGTAAATCAGAGTGAGTACCATATATATCAAAGGAGCGGACTAGCTTCACCAAAATTTAAGCTAGCTAATGAATGGAGCTAGAGCTGTCAAATTGATTCAACAAGTTGAGTTCATATCGGTTATGGATGGGTTGAGTCATACCACATTCAGACAATGTCAAGTTAGTGTGTTTGATCACTTATTTAATTAGGTTAGTAGAGTAAAATCCGTTTGGGCCTCTATAGTTAAATTCTAATAAATTTTATATTGGGTTAGAGTTGATTTTAGTTAGGTCATGTCTTGTTCAAGTTAATCTCGGTTCGGTTTGAGTCGACATTGGTTTGGAATGGGTTTGTACCAGTTATTTCATTTGGATCAAGTTTGGATTGGTTGAGTGTCGAGTTTGGATTATCATATCCTAATTGAGAAAATATAGAGTATTTGAGTCAAGTTAGGATCAGATGTGTCTCAGATTGAATTAAGCTAAGTGTACATCGGATGATTTCTCAAATAATGTTCAAATTCTAGGATATAGGTCAAGTTCGTAGCATATAATGCTAGGGTTCGAATCAAGTTTAGACATGTAATCACTTCAACATGAGTTTTAAATAATTGTGATAAAAGATAAATAATACATCAAATTGGGTTATCCTAAACTCCTAATGAACTATGAAAAGTACGACTTTTGCCCAATTAGAATATTATTTGATCCAATTTCTATTGTATTTGCTAGTAATGATTTATATTGTAGATGTCGTATGACTCTTCTGTTAAAGAATTGGTTTTACTTTTTTTTTTTTTAAAAATAAAAAAAAAAGGACGATTCAATTAGTTAGATTTTATATCTGAGTTAAATTGGATCGGGTTCAATCCTCATGTTGATTAGGATATCAGATGAAATTGATTCAAATTACCAACAATTCAGTTGAATTCAACTTCTGGTTGACTTAGGGCAAATCTACAATAATGGGGGTTAAATTGGATGGATCACGAGTCTTATCAAGTCGGGTTGAACTTTATATAGGGCCAAACTTGATCCCAGATTATATATATCGATCAATTAGGTCAATTGCATTGCAATTCTTCCCAAATTAAATCGGATTTTGAATTGTTATCGATCAAGTAAAGGGATCCCCACCCTCAAACACAAATAATTTGTCAAGATCCGAACTTAACTCACAAATGAGAAACCATAACCAATTAGATCAAGCTAACTTACTTTATTTTGAAGTGAAATGAATAGAGAGGTGTCAAAATAGCGGTCTATTATATTAAATTAAAGAGTACAAAAATGGTAGAATGCGATACGGCCAATAGCAATAGTCAACTTCATAATGCTATAAAACACTGCAGTTTCACCAACACCCCTAACACTGCATGCCTACATTTACTTCTTTTATCTATTTGCAAGAAGAAAAAAAATTCGTCGGTGTAGTATTAGTAGTAGTTAGAATTTAACACACTACAATTTCTTGGAACTAGCTCATCATTATTGTTATCTTCTCTAGCCGCGTAAGTTTTGCAAATTGCACTGCTACACATACATACATTTCAATATTTATGCACTTCCTTTTAATTTTTACTCTCTATGATTTAATTTGACTTGCATGTCAAGAAATTTGAGAATTGGTTATTGAGTGTTTTGCATTCAATTGTACTTGCTATATTTATGCCTTGCTTTACTTTATGTCTATTATTTCAAGAATTGTAAATTTGAACTCAAAGCCTTGTAATAGTATGTGATTAGGCATGCATCACCCCCTCCTCTCTACACTCTCTATATGTGCTTAGCCTAACCTATGCATGTATTTTGAATTAAATCAAAGTGATGATTGATAGAATGTATGATAAATATTCTAGATATTATTATGTATAGAAGGATATAGTTTTGTGAATATTCTGTAAATTTCTTTTGAGATTTCCTACCGTGATTAAGACTTATCTTTGTAACCCTATATATATAAATAAATGAAATACACTCCAAACTAAGGAATTCGGAAAATCTAACGTGGTTTCACAGCTCATGTTTTGATCCAACCTAGTTTCTGCAAATTTATTTTTTTCTGAAATTATTTTTTTTTCTAGCCCTAGCTTTAGCCGCCACCCCCTCTTCACCGTCCTTACCACCTAGCCGGCCACCACGACCAAGGATGGTGATACCTCGTCTTCTTCTGATTTTCACCCTGCTTTCGGTTTGAATAACATCAAAAACGCCATCCCTCTTTTTCTTGATTGTCAGAAAGTACAGTATTCAAATTGGGTTGAGTTGTTTGAGTGTCATGAGCATGCATTCAATGTTCTTGATCATATAGATTCGAAAACAAAAAGACCGGCATGTTTATTTGATGATATGTGGAAGAGCTTGACTTGATTCGGTAGTGAAAAATTGGATCTATGGCACTATTTCTACCGATTTGCTTGAAACTATCCTTTCCCAAGGGGATACGGCTTAACAAATATAGAACAAACCCAAGGAAATATTTCAGGATAGTAAATCTACTTGGACGATTTATCTTCAAAACTAGTTTAATTCCTTGCATTTATCAAACTTTCCAGATATCTCTTCCTATTGTCGGCAAGTGAAGAATTTAAAAGATCAATTGGCTAATGTTGATCAACTGGTGTCGGATCAAAAATTGGTAATTCGTTTGGTCTCGGGACTTACCAATACCGATTTTGATACACTGGATGTGATGATACAACAGACGGAACCTCTGCCTTCTTTTGAAACCGCTAGATCTTGTCTTTTGCTTGAAGAATCTCGTAGAGAGAATGACACAAGCACTCCGACGTCGTCCTTAGTAGCACAGAGCATCAAATCAAGCCTGAACCCCTGCCCTGCCAGCGTCACAACAGCAATAGTCGGCTGGCCGAGGTGGCACACCACCTAGTCGTGGCAGTGGCCGCGGAAAGGGGCGTGGCAGGGGTCGCGGTAGAGGTCCTGGACAGTAGCAGCAGGCTCTACATTAGCAAGCACCATCTTGGGCTCAGCCTCAATGGGGCAACCAGCCTAGTTACTACCAGGGACAGCTAGCTGCACCTCAATGGGGCAAGCCCCATATCCTTATCCGCAGCATCCAGTATCAAGGCCAGGCACCCCTGCCGCACAGCAACAATGACCCCCTATCGCATTCTATCAAGCCCCACAAGGGTACCAGTAGCCCCAACAACAAGTCCTCGTCGCTCAAGGGTCGAAGTATGGTCCGACGATGACTTCAACGGAGCTAAGCGATGCTTTCACAACAATGGGTTTTTCAGAATTACGACCCATCTTGGTACAGGGATTCCAGCACAACTTCTTACATGACCAATAATGCCGGTAATCTCTTACCCCTTTTTAATTTAAGCACAAATAATTATATTCAAGTAGGTAACGGTCAATGCATTCCAATTACAGGTTACGGTCATTCTACTATTGCTAATAAATCCCTTGCTTTATGTGATGTCTATTTAAATATGGATTGCATAAGCTATATCAGGGCAGTAAAGTGGGAGATAATGCGCTCACCTAACAGGTCTGAGGATGTAACCAACACAATATCTTTAACATATAATAGTAAATATGCCATATCTTTCCCATGTCGGTAAATGACTAAAGAATTGTCACTCTTGGCAATAACAAACCCCATCTACAAAAGATAGTTAGCAAAATGCTGATACCAAGCCCTGTTTTAGACCATATAGAGTCTTACGGAGCCTGTAAACATAGCCTGGGAACCTCTTGTCAACAAACTCGGCGGGTTGATGCATATACACACACTCATTCTGATCACCATAAAAAAGGCATTTGTCACATAAAGTTGGTGAATACACCACTTACTAGCCATAGCCAAACTCAAAATTGTGTGTATAGTGGCCGGTTTTACAACTGGACTGAAGGTTTCATCACAGTCAACAACTTTGACCTAAGACCTGCCATCACAAACCAAACGAGTTTTGTGGCCTTTCAAGATCACCATTAGCATTCAATTTATGACAAAACAACCACATGCAATTAACAATGTTCACCCCCGTAGGCCTAGGAACCAAATCCCAAGTCCCTGTTTCATTTAAAGCACTATAGTCATCACGCATCGCATCATTCCAATTTGGGTTGGAAAAAGGCTTGTTTGTGATTTTTCGGAAACAAGGAACGCATAGACACGGTTAAACCAAACTTGGGTTAGGTGTAAAGATGCCAAATTTGGACCATATATGCATTTGGGGTGAGAGTGGTGGTGGTCGAGTAGGAGAAATGGG